CACTAATTTAGAAGACTTTGTTCAGAAGAATCCATGAGATAATTTTATAATTTACTTTCAATTTTGTAGTTAAAATGACTGATCTCTGATTTTTTCTTTTACAGTTACTGAAATTATAAAAATGTTTCTATGAGAAATCCTTTGACAAAAAAACCGCGGACAATTAACAATCCAGAAAAAATTAAGTGGTTCAAGCAATATGAATACAGGAAGTTGTACAAATAGGTCAACTACTGTTTTGAATCGCCCCGTACACTTTATCAGGAAGTAAATTCTGATGCGTAACACGTGCATCTTTTTTTCCAGTTCCGCTCCGACCGGAATCCAAAACAGCTCATTTTCATACTGAAACCATTCTGCTAAACGAATATAAGCATGCACCTCCAATCCATAAGCAACCGGACACCTAGTTAGTTTAAGGAAAATTTAAATTGCGATACACCACCTAGCTACATGTACAGGGTGTCCCAAAAATGTCTCGCAATCCGAAAGTAGGGGATTCCTGAGGTGATTTGAAGCAACTTTTTCCTCAGCGAAAATGCAATCCGCGGCTTCGTTTACGAGTTATTAACGAAAAACACTGACCAATAAGAGGCGAGCTCGGCTGGCGCGCGGCGGCCCAGCCAACGACTGCACGGAGCCCAGTTCCTGTCTCTTATACACATCTAGATGTGTATAAGAGACAGGAACTGGGCTCCGTGCAGTCGTTGGCTGGGCCGCCGCGCGCCAGCCGAGCTCGCCTCTTATTGGTCAGTGTTTTTCGTTAATAACTCGTAAACGAAGCCTCGAAGAAAATTTTCGCAAAGGAAAAAGTTGCTTCAAATGACTTCAGGAACCTCCCATTTCCGGATTGCGAGACATTTTCGGGATTTGGTATATGACATTGTAAATATGTATTCATAGCTTTTAATGAGCTTATTATAACTCTAATTCTAATAGTTTTTAGAATTCAATAAACTTTAATTTTAGTTCTTTATTGCTATGAAAACTAATTAGGACAATCAGATGGAATTAAAATATCACTTTCATAATCCTTTAAATCATTTTTTACACTCTAAAATAAAAACTTGTAAATAAAAAATTGTAATTACTAAATTTTTTAATTTACTTGCACCATCTGCATTTACTTGCACCTCAAAAACCTTGTGAATTGCAGAGAACGAAACATTGTCGCCCGGTACCAAAACTAACTATTTAGTTAATACATGTTAAGAACTGAGTGATCGATAATGTTAGCAAAAGGACATTAAAAAGTAAAACAGAACTTTTATTTAACCACGTCTACGAATATCGCTGCTAAACTGAGCGATGTTATCTTAATCCAATGTTCTTAAGGACATTTTCGAATGATATGCCATAAAAAAATCGCGTAATAAAACCATTTGCCTAACTTGGTTTTCTTCTGCATATTAAATTGGTGTGATAAGTTTAAATGTTCAGCCGAGTCGCATTTTAATTTCCAAAGTTCAGTCATACCCAACGGCGAAGATTTAGCATCTTGATCTTTCATATTAAGGACTAATTGACTTTCGAATTCCTCGGTAGAAGTCTTTTTAAATCTACCCATCTACCGTGCCGAATCTTTAATCTTGCTTTCTCGAATCGCTTTAAATTGGACTCCCAATGTGTTTTTTTGGAACGTGGAAAGTTTCAGCGATCTGTCTTTAACCGATCTTGTTCTTAAAAGCATTCTCAAAGTCGCATTCGTATCATTCTTCGTTAATTATCCTTTCTGTGATCAATTTTATTTTTTCTTTATTCTTTTTAAGAATAAAGAAGGAAATCCTGAGGACAGTTTTTTAATTCCAGGAAAAAATATTAAAAAATCTGGCCGCTACTGGACGACTATAAAGTTAGTCATTGTACAATATACAAATCAAATTGCAAAAGTTTGAACATTTTTTTTGCATATCTAACAGTCTAGAAGTGAAGTAAGTGATACGATAAAATGCTTTAATTACCTGAAATATAAGAAATCAACTGTGAAAGGTAACTTTTCTAAACGTCTTAAAACTCTGGTAATACTGAAGAAAATAGCTGCCAGAACACGTTGCACAGAACTAGGAATAGTACTAATTTATCTAGCAATTTATTGTACAAGCAAGATCTTGCTTTGGCCGGTACTTTACGACTCTCTCCTATATAGGGGTCGTTTTAGTACAAATACTACTACTACAAATAATACTACTACGCCGGTTTTACAGAAATTGTTCGTGGCGTCACGATGAATACTCTTTTATGTGATACATATAATGTTGAAATATTATCTGCAATAGATAAGTTACAGTGTATAACCATGTTTGACATGTTAATTGCGACAGGGTAATAATAATTCATAATAATTGAATAATAATTGAATAATAATTGAATAATAATTGAATAATAATTGAATAATAATTGAATTGACGATGGTAATAATACAAAATTTTAGATATTGACATTTGTTTTAAATTATATATATATTTCTATCAATTTAGGCGCGCCGGTCACCGGTGGCCCCCATGGCGTCACCGCCAAGTTAAGTGCCGGTCACCGGTGACCCCCGTGGCATTCAACGTGTTAAAGTAACTTCCTCCTTCCAGCGAAAATGTTCTCCGCGATTTTGTCAACAAGCTATTAACGAAAAACACGGATCAATCACAGATCGAGTACGACTGGCGCCTCGCCCTCGCAGCCAATACCGAACCCACCATTGCGCCGCCGTACTCGCTCTCCGATTGGTCCGTGTTTAACCCTTTGCACTCAAAGCCATATTAAAGATAAATTTAAATTAACTCTCCCGATTTACGGTGATTTTCATTTTAATGACAAAGTGCATTTTTTATGCATATGAAATCGAGTCTCGCGACTCGCACAATAGTTAGACTTTTAAGACAATTCTTTATACGTAAGCTTTGTTACAAAAAAAATTATTGTAATAACAACGTAACCAACGTAAACCAACGTAACCAACAATTTCGCTAAGGAAAAAATGACTTCGAATCACACCGGGAATCAGCCCTTTCCAGGCGCATCGAGAGATTTCTTGGAACATTTCCTTTTTTTCTTGGAAAATGGTGTAACAATGGTCGCGGTGCCAATGAGTCACCACTAATTTAATAGTTAATAGTTGATGCCAATAACTCGTCAACGATGCCTTACACCAACATTTTCGCTAAGGAAAAAATGACTTCGAATCACACCGGGAATCAGCCGTTTCCAGGCGCATCGAGAGATTTCTTGGAACATTTTCTTTTTTTCTCGGAACATAATATATATGTAATATATATTGTAACAATATATACATATATGTAACAATTGTCGTGGTGCCTCGAAGTCACCACTCGACTGCAAAGGGTTAATGCCAATAACTCGTCAACGATGCTTACACCAACATTTTCGCTAAGCAAAAAATGACTTCGAATCACACCAGAAATCAGCCCTTTCCAGGCGCATCGAGAGATTTCTTGGAACATAATGTAACAATTGTCGTGGTGCCAATGAGTCACCACTAATTTAATAGTCAATAGTTAATGCCAATAATCTTGTCAACGATGCCGTACACCAACATTTTCACTAAGCAAAAAATGACTTCGAATCACACCATGAATCAGCCCCTTCCAGACGCATCGAGAGTTTCAGAACATCCTATACTCAAATATAAAAACAAAAAAGAAAGAGAAAAAGACGCGAAGCAAACACGTACCTTCGGAGTCCGAGGTGTCAGAGAGCGGCGGTTCGTTCGCGATGTACTGTCGGCCGCTCAGCAAGTTGTTTTCGACGATGGGTCGTTTGTCCTCAAGCTGCCTTCTGAAGCCGCGATGATCGTCCTGCAACAGGAGAGTAAAGGCACACACCTGTTAATGTCGGTTGAATGCAGGCTGCAGAGCGCGCGCGAGCCCACTCGAGCGCTTTTCACGCTCAGCCCGGGCGAACATTCGTACGTACGAGGCTGGTCCGCACGCCGAAGGGAATAAGTAGGCTAATTCGGTGGAGCTTTAAACGGCGGCGACGACGACGACGAACGAAACGACGGCTAAGACTGCGGCGACGGGTCGCGACGGATGGCGGACGCGCAGAGCCATCGACGTCGTCTTCATCTCGACTACGGTGTGCATCCGTAATTTTGTTTGACAAGGTATCACGGCGAAAGCTGGGCCCCGACCGGCTAGGACACGGCCACCTACCTCGAAGTGGCTGAAACGCGGCACTCGCGATATCGCTCCCGCGGCTTCTCGTTAACGAGATTATCTCTCACTTCCCCGTTTCTGTCTTTACCGCGCCAGCGTTTCCGTTTCTTTCCCCGTCGTTCTTGCCAACTCAAGAATTTTAGACATTCCGCGGCTCGGAACGGTTTTTGCCGGTCCGTTTCTCTCCCTCTCGCCTCGTTCGCAACCGCTCGTTTTCTTCCGTTTTCTTCTTGCACGTTCTCCCGTTTTTCCATCCCCTTGTGTTGTTTTTCCGGGGTTTCTTTCATTTTTTTTTCGCGTCCTCCCGGGAACGCGAGACACGTTTCGAGTCGCGTGAAATCCTTTCAAACAGCCCGGAATAATTCACCTACTTTCGTGGCTGCGACGACCGGAATCTCTCGAGCTTGTCGGACTGATGATGAAACGCGCGGTGGTTATTAGGAATTGTTCGCCCCGCTGCCCCCTTGGAAGTGGGATTATTTTAGCGACGCGATCTTGCGGGTTCTCTCGCTCTCTCTTTCTCCTGACATTTTATTTTCTCGGCGGAGTGCTCGCGCGAACGTTTTAAACGGATTCATAGACGCGGTCGAGAAATCTGAATCGCGCTGTTGCTCGCTAAAATATTCGGACACCAGCTAAAGAGGAGGAGCTTAACTTTTTCAAAGTTAAAGCGAACGGTCGGAATTTTTGCTGAGACGCTCGAGAAACTAGTTCGCTGCGCGATGAATACGGAAGTTTTTTCGAAAAAGTCGCAACCGATGGAAACGACGAAACAAAATGAGAACATTGGGAAAAGTGATCTTCTTATCGGAGCCTGTGACGAAAATTTAAACAACGCGTTTTGGAGATCACTTACATGTGTGCTGAACATTTTGTGAAAACCCGTTGACGTTGTTATAACTTGTAGCCTAAAGTTCGGTTCTCGTTGTTTGCTTGGTTGAGTTATAAAAAGATTATGTTCCTTTGTAACGCATGTCTCATTATTTTTAGTAAGTGAGTTATAGCCTAAAGTTTGGTTTTCTCATTATTCTCATTATTTTTAGTAAGTGAGTATATTATTAGTAGTAGCAGCAGCGCGATAAACTGAATTGTCATGCTTGAGGGGATTTATTTTCTCCTGTAATTTACAAAAAATTTTATACAATTCAATTATGAAAAAATATCGCGTGTGTAGAAATGATATTAGTGCGTTTCATACATTTTCCCGTTTGATAGATTTTCCCCAAACGATTATCGCAGTAATGAACTTCCCCACTGAAAGATACTAATTAATGAAAACTGCGAATTTTTTAATGTATTTCTGGCAGTTAACAACAGAAACGACTCGTATATGAACAAATACAGTAAATTCTCCCCAATTGTCCTTCAGCTTGTAAACAGAAATCGACAATTTGAGAAATTTATATTTATCGTTAGAATTTATTTTATATTATTTATTTTTATAGTTAGAATTTATAGAAATTTATAGTTGCTGATTGTCGAAAACTATAAAAACGAGGCGCAGGCTCGAATAATCGTATCTACTTTTCCCAAATTGTCCATTTTTTGTTTACAAGCTGAAGGACAATTGGAGAGAATTTACGGTGCTTCGTTGATATGCAAAATTTCATGAGAGAAGCTGACATTTTACGTATTACTATTCGGGCTATAATAGTTATTATTGTAATATCATAGTATTAATTAACTATAATATTGTAACTATTACACGTTTTACGTAATTAGAAACATCGTGGAACAAGATTCGCCTCGGATTTCTGCAATATATGCATATTTTGAAAAGAATTACAGAAATGAAAGATTTCTGTGTTACAGCAATAATTTATCAAGAAAGTTAATTTTCTTTCTAATATTCGACAATATTTATTTATCCCAGATGACCTGTTTATATTATAATCTACTTGGAAATTTAGAGAACTTAGTTCTCTATTAAGCCTTTCGTAATCTACAGAAAATTTTGTACAATTCAATTATGAAAAAATATTGCGTGTGTAGAAATGATATTATTGCGTTTCATACATTTTTCCGTTTAATAGATTTTCCCCAAACGATTATCGCAGTAATGAACTTCCCCACTGAAAAATACTAATGAATGAAAACTGCGAATTTTAATGTATTTATGGCAGTTAAAAACAGTAAATTCTCTCCAATTGTCGCTCAGCTTGTAAACAAAAATGGACAATTTGGGAAGAGAAGATGCGATTATTCGAGTCTCGCGGCTCGTTTTCATCGTTATCGACAATCAGCGACTACAAAAACCAACCGCGAAGCTCGACTAGTCGTATCTCCTCTTCCCAAATTGTCTATTTTTGATTACAAGCTGAGCGACAATTGGAGAGAATTTACTGTACTGGCTATATCTTAATTTCACTAATACTGATACAATATAAATAGTTCATTTAGCTGATGAATGTATTTTTCTTAGTTTCGACCTTTGAAAATACAAACAAAATGTTACAAACCGCAAAACATCGAGATTTGAATGCCGTTTCTCAGGCGTCAGAAAATAAGGTCAACTCGTTAGTTAAGAAATTGGAAGCAATAGAGGCATCGTTCGCTCAATTGGAACTCGAGACGATTTCTAATTGGCCTCGCCGAGGTAATCGTCTTATCGGCACGGTTATCGGAACGACGGGTTAATTACGCATTGCGTTCCGTACACACTAATGTGCTAGTATTATTCTTCATCTCGATACCTGTCATTGTTAACCCTCGTATCACGATGACCGTGTCTGCGGTGACCTTTATGTATTACATGTAAGAAAAAACGTAATAAATTACTTATTATAAATAGTGTATTATTATATATATTATATATATTATTATATTATTATATATATAATAATATATATATATATATATTATATATATAAATACAAAATTATATATTATATATTATATTATTATTATATATATATAATAATATAATAATATAATAATATATATATTATATTATTATTATATATATATAATAATATAATAATATAATAATATATATATATATATATTATATATATATATATTATATATTATATATTATATATATTATTATATATATATATATGTATTATTATAGTATAGTAGTATACAATAATAGTACATCATTATAAATTATTTACTATAATTTACTTATTATAATTTACTATAATTCTCTATCACCGTTTATTATGGAAATATTAGCAATAATTCAAAAGTAAATGAATCAATGGAAACGAAATGCTACAGATGCTAGTACGCGTCATGCGAGACCCGGCCATCGGCCACTATGGCCCGTTATGCGAAAGTTAACCTATAAACTGCTAATAAGTTGCCGTATGGAGTCACTAATATTATATCGTATTTTGTGAAATAAATTGTTCTCTTTCATCTGGCTCGACTTTTTCAGAGGAAATATTTAGCGAGAATAATTATTTATGGCATAGTCTACACCAGGGGTGTCGAACTCGCGGCCCGAGATGAACATTTTTGCGGCCCAGTCAATATATCCGACGCAAAGTAAAAATCAAATAGAAATGTGAATTCGAAATTTTGAAAGTAGTCTCGGCCAATCAAATTTCTCCCGAAATAGGAAAGATAGTATCAGAGAAGAGATGTCAAGTATCAGGACGTAAACAATAATTTAACTTTATATATGTTTATTACAATGTACTAGTCAAAATACAAATATTTGTTTCTATGAACATTGATTTTTTTTTGCGGCTAACCTAAAGTTAAGCATTGTTTATTTAGCCCAAGTTATAGCTTTTGAGTTTGACACTCCTGTACTAGAATGTTGAAATTGTATTCTCGAATTGTTTGGTCTTAATAGTATTGCCAGTTTTCGAGGAATAATAATAGGAATAATAATAATAAAGGAAACGATGTACGATGTATAATGTTTAAATTGTATTCTCAATTTTTTTTTGATAATAAAGGAAACGATGTAGAATGTTGAAATCGTATTCTCAAATTTTTTGGTCTCAATAGTATTGCCAGTTTTCGAGGTATAATAATAGGAATAATAATAATAAAGGAAACGATGTACGATGTAGAATGTTTAAATTGTATTCTCAATTTTTTTTAGATAATAAAGGAAACGATGTAGAATGTTGAAATCGTATTCTCAAATTTTTTGGTCTCAATAGTATTGCCAGTTTTCGAGGTATAATAATAGGAATAATAATAATAAAGGAAACGATGTACGATGTAGAATGTTTAAATTGTATTCTCAATTTTTTTTAGATAATAAAGGAAACGATGTAGAATGTTGAAATCGTATTCTCAAATTTTTTGGTCTCAATAGTATTGCCAGTTTTCGAGGTATAATAATAGGAATAATAATAATAAAGGAAACGATGTACGATGTAGAATGTTTAAATTGTATTCTCAATTTTTTTTTGATAATAAAGGAAACGATGTAGAATGTTGAAATCGTATTCTCAAATTTTTTGGTCTCAATAGTATTGCCAGTTTTCGAGGTATAATAATAGGAATAATAATAATAAAGGAAACGATGTACGATGTAGAATGTTTAAATTGTATTCTCAATTTTTTTTAATAATAAAGGAAACGATGTAGAATGTTGAAATCGTATTCTCAAATTTTTTGGTCTCAATAGTATTGCCAGTTTTCGAGGAATAATAATAGGAATAATAATAATAAAG